AATGAAAAAAATCTACATAATCCTATTTTTTGGAAAATTTTTACACACGACCTCGTTTTCCAAAGATCTCCTAAAAAGTCTGTTTCAGAAAACTCTTCTGAAAATATTTGTGCTTATGGAAACATGCTTCCACGTCTTCTCTTTTGCATGATGAAAACTGAAGCTCTCTAGCTGCTTTCTATCAAAAGTTATTCAAAAACTATTCACTGCTCTTGTATTTTGAAACGGATAGTATTTAATGTTTTCTATCTATATACACAAATTAAATGATTTGTTTGTACGTTTTATTTGATTTATTATGTTAACAGATGAAAAAATATAGATAATATATAATTAACAATATACATATTGAAGGTAGAGGGTGAAAACATATACACGATTTGAAAAAACGATATCATTTTGAAAAGAAAAATATTTAGTCTACAAAAATAAATAAATATAAACAAAAAAATGAAGATAGAAAAAAATCTTGTAAGAAAAGACAAAAGTCTGAAGCAGAATTCAATGAACGGAATAGTAATCTATACTGTTTGTTAAAAAGCACTCGAATTACAGAATGAACATAATCAGTCACAATAAAAAAACAGTTTTGTCGTACTATCATCATGGGTAGTTGTCATAAGTTACTCTGTAGTATGATGTTCGCACAGAGAGTAGTTTTAGACTTTCTTTTTCTTTCGAATCATAATAACATTGTGAAGAGATTATTGTGAACACGAAACATTATTTCGAAAATTATCTGATAAACTCAGATTGAACTTTACTATTTGAACTACATTTTTAAGAAGAAAACATTTACTTCGTATGAAAAGTACACAAGACTGCAGGGCTAAAATATGTATCAAATAAAATTAGAAGCTCGCATCAATCAGTCATGAATAAGCATTTTTGAAAACAAAACTCTTCTATTGTGCATACGGTAATGACTTATTCTGTCAAAGTTATATATTTCTCAATATAGACGAATTCATTCAAACAACTATAAAAAAAACAAAAAAAAAAAATGTAGAGGAAAAATAAGTTCTCAATAAATAACGGCGACGTTGTATAAAAACAAGCACAGATATACACATATAACAAAATACGAAATGATTATTTGATTCTTTGGTACAAAAAAATAATGAACCTGTTTAACTGTTTTTAACAAGACAAAAATATTAAGAAAAAAACAAAAAAATATGGCGAGAAGTGAGACATGGGGAATATCACAATTTAGAGAGCACAGTATTAAAAGTGAAAAACAAAATAAAAATAGTTTTCAGATTTCATTCGCTATTTTCAATTTTGACTGGTGTGATTGTTGAGCTGAAACAAGTGTGGACGGATTTGTTAATAATAATCTAAAACGGAAAATAATGTATTAGTTAGTACTGTTAACTATTACCACAAAAATAAAAACAGTTTTAACGTTCTGCTAAGTTTTACAAGCATTTTAGTTCAAGCTCGTTCATACAGATTTAAAAACCGTCGTTCAGGAATATTGGAAAAGATAGTAGTTGAGGCAGATAGCTTCTAAATTGTGGCAATTAATTTATAAGCAAAGCAGTCTATTATAGTGGGTAAAGTGTCCACTATTAAACGATGAGCATAAAAGTTGGTTGAGTTAAATAAATATGCATGGATAGTTAAATAATGGATAGTTCCTTCCTTACTTGATATCATGTACAAATTATAGTAGAGCTATTTGAGAAACACATGGAACTTTCAATAAGTATACTATTTCTCTATAAAACGCATACTTTTGAAATCTTCCCGATGGTAGTCGTTGTTCACCATTTTGTCTTCCTGATGGACGCATGGGTGGTCGAGGAACAAAACGATTTAAAGCAGAAAATAGTTCATTACGTTGTAATGTCTTTTGGAAAGCTTTAGCCTAAAGTAGAAAATCATGATAAAAATAGTTAGTACCAAAACAGACAAATTTCATTCATTTACTTGTTGTGCTAATTGTTGATTTTTTGCTTTTGATTCTTCTAACATTTGTCTTGATTTTTCTAAAATTTCTTGTTGTTTCGTCATATTTATCGGAATATCTACATTGGACTGCTTTAATACTTCAACATTATTTTCACAATCAAATGAAGATGAAGAACTAGTAAGTGTCGTTGACTGATTCTGTTTTGTAGAGGGAACTATTACTGATTGTGTATTGTTTTGATCACTCAGCGATAATATAGCTGTATTATTAAATGCGTGTAAATGATATATACCTAGGAGAAATAAGCTTCGAAGATAGAAGAAATAAGCTTTGATTTGAATATATTAGTAGATAATTTTTACAACAAAATGTTAAGATACAAAGCATAGCAAGTACACATAAATCAAGTAGAACAGTGCACATACGAATACATCTGTTAGTAAATGAAAGACATTAACTTTATTAGAATGACGAAAAACAAGGAGAAATGAAAAATATTCTAAAACAAACTCTCTTGTACTTATTACTGTTTATCCAGTATATGAGTTATATATTAGTAGTAGAGGCATAGTAGTGCTGGTAGCAATTTATTATTCTCAATTCATGCACTCTATCTGTTACCTGAATATTGGCGTCGATGTTGTTTTGAAGAAAGTTCGTTTAATTGTTCCACAAAATCGTGATTCAAATCTACAGGAAAAATTTCTTTATGTGTTTTCTTTCTGTTTTGAACGAATTTATAGTTATTTTGCTCAATTTTATTTTTCGTATTTTTCTAAGGTTTTTTAACTGTATGACTTACTTTTTTCAGTTGGCCCATTAGCTGAGTTAGGACGAGAAAACAAGCTTGTATTCAGTGGGGTAGGTGTGGGCTCTAAAATAAGAAATTTTTTTTACTGTACATATCCAAGGACCAAAGTATTACATACGTTTTCGTTGGTGAACAGCAGCCGAAACAGGTCGATTAACACCATATAATCGAAATATGTCCTGTTGACGTTTATTTCTTTCTAAAAAGGACAGTATATTCAAATAGTCAATCTCCCATATCAAACAAAAAGGGGCCAGAATTAGTGAAACGAACGTTTCACTAATTCTGTCAGTAATCGTTTCAGTAATTCTGGTTCACTCCTTATGTCCGATCGGATCTGACAGAATTGAAACAGATATCGTCTAAATGACATTTTCCGAAGTTCGATTACCGGCTCGAATCGGATCCATTTTGATTCGATTAATTCCGCATATTGAATCTGGTCAGATTCAACAAGGCCCGTTAATCGAATTTACAAAAATAGATTCCGACGAAATCTAGTCGAATCTGGCCGGATTGCATCAGGTTTCATTGAATTCTGATACGGATCCGACAAGATGCGACGGTCGTAATGTTCATTCTGAGTTTTTAAACTTGAATTACTATTACCTCTACTAGCACTCGATGCTCGCAGTATCCGTTGATCGGGCTTTGTCGTGTTTGTTGCCCATTTCTCGCCTTGATCAGTCTGTTCATTTTTAACAATTACTGTGATTTTTTTTAAATTTACACTTTCTCGCGGAATCAATGTCTGGATAGGATGGGCCTGATCATCAGCCGTCTCAGAACCATTCGATGTCGGTATAAGAAGTTGATCTTGAGAAATCGATTTCATCGAGGATTTTGGTCGAGGATTGACACCTGTAACAGAATAGAAATCTATACTTCAATGTTTCTAAAAGCTTTTTTTTCTCTGTTTGTTCACCTAAATGTATTGCTGATTGTTTATTTGTTTTCATATATGTTGTCATCATTTCTTCTAAATCAGCTTCACTTGCTGATCGAATAAAATTATCAAATAGACTATCGTCCACTTGACTAATACCTGTTGTTGATGATAATACTGTTGACACTATTGATATAGTTGTTGTACCTGATACGGTAGTCGAAGCTGAAGAAATTCGTTTATTGGAAGCTGGTTGTGGTAACTGAAGTAACGTGCCTCGTTGTGCGTCAGTTTCCTTATTGTATAGGTGTAGAAAGTCACATAATTCTTTCGCCAATATGCGTTTTTGATCTACGAGAGACAAACGTCTGGATGGTATTTCTACACGAAATGGTTGTGCAAGATTTTGACCAGCACGTTTTAAAAATCTTAGAACTAATTCCATATGTTGAAGAGTGGTTGCATCTTCTTTCAATTCACTATCAACCATTAAACGAAATTGTATGCGTTGTAAATAAGTGGAAAATGCGGTACGTGCTTGTAATGGACTAGACAAAAAAAAGGAAGAAAAATTTGCGACGTTTGACAAATCATAAGAATCACAAATTTGAGAAAGAGACAGATATACTTTTTTATCAGTATTTTTCATTGTTAAATTTTTAAAATTTTGTTGCTTACGTTAATGTGACTCCGTTATTCAAATAATCTAATATATTTGTTTTAGCATATACTGAATGACGCATTTCTCCTGGACCAGGTGGTAGATGCTGCTGTTGTTTAATCATTTGAATATTTGTTAAACGTTTTGCTGAAGAAGATTCAATTCTGGCATGTTGTTGATGAAAGTGTTGTGGTCGAATAATGTGAGTTGTGCTACTTGTAGTAGATGGACGAGACCCTAAAGATGATTGGGTTGATTTAATTGTTGCTGTTGTTTTCGATTCCTCGCTATTAGTGCCTTGCGCAAGTAATGTGGTAGGTCGCTGCTGTGACCCTGGTTGTGTGTGTTTTGTAGATTGAGACGGTAGCAAAGATGACACTGGTTCGATAATATCAATTAATCTTCGTTCATAGAGTCTGTATCGATCAATAGCTTCATCTAAACTACATCCACTTGCTTTGTTATTAGTTGAATGATCGTGACTACCACCGCTACGATATAAAACACGAAAAATGAAAAATAGATAAACATAAATTTTTCATAAATTTCCAATTTCATTGTCATTTACCTGTAATTATATGCTGTGCTTAAGTGTTTTGCTCTTGGGATCGTAGTCCTTCTAATACCTCCCACATTGATCGATGTCTGTATCACTGTGCTATTATTCTGATTTGAGTTTGTTGTTGATGTCATCCATCGTTCCGGATACAAACGTTGATGTAACATTTGACTATAGGATGTTGTTCGTTGTTCAAAAAAGGTCGAAAAAAACTCGTAAGTGTCCGAGGTTGGAAAAATTCGAACAAAACCGCCACGATGTTTTTGTTCTTCTTTTACCATACGTAAAATACGAGATTCTTCAGAAGATAAACCAAAATATTCATTTGGACGAGACGGATTATGAACATTGTTTGAACCATGCTGCTGCTGCTGCTGATGAGACTGAACATGGTGAGTGGCCGTTACAGCGCGTGAACGAGGATTGGTGTTTGTAAGTGAAGTCGAAAGAGAATAACCAGCTGATATCGGACGCCGCTAAAACAAGTATTGAGATTCATTGCATGACTTAGAAGATAAAAAGAATATGCACATTGGTGACACATACTCTTTTTAGTGTTTCCGATTGTATTTGTTGTTTTTGTTTATTCGCGTGAATAGATGCAGTCTGACACGGTAATGCAGCCAAATTTAACAAATCACATATCATATGAGTTTTGATTTTTAAATCAATTGGAGCATCACTGAGAAAAAGAATACAAGTACATTTAGATTAAATTCTTAAGAAAGCAGTACATACCAGCCCAGGGAAGGAGATAGATTTACTTCCAAGACCTATGATAGACAAGAACGTTAAAGAAGAAAAAAAGGAAAGAAAAGAACATATATACCCATGGCCTGAGTTCATCATCAATTAGTATATCAAAGCCATAGACTTCTATAAGAGGCGCAAAATATACAAAATTTTCACGTTCAATTTGACTACATACCAAAACAATTTCCTCTATGCGGTACAAACATTCTACATGCAGCTGATATATGACTTTCCACGGACAGTAGCGTTTTAAGAATAACATCTTCGATGGCCATCATTAAACCTTGAATAGAAAAGAGTTCCTTAATACCATAATAAAATAGTTAATTTTATAATCCTACTAAAAGTATCTTTTCCTTCGGCTTTTAGTAATCGTAGCATTGCACTCATTGACCACTTATTACCAAAATCCTCGATATCGGGATCATCACATCTAAACATATATAAAAAGAACAATAATGATTATGTACAGGTAGAATACGAATGACCTGACTGACCTGACATAACGATGACTTCGTTTATTCACGCTGTAATTAGTTAGATGCATAAACGCATTTTTTATACTACGCTGATTTGGATCATATTTAACAGTAGCAAATCTATAAGAAATAATCAAAATTATTTTTATATAAAATGTACGTATATTGATCTCAACTCGTTTAACAAACGTTACTATTTTATTCGTACTCATTGTCTGAAATTCACGCAAAATGTACAAAGCATACCTCGATAGGCCTTCCTCATATAAATAAGCGACTAATGGATCATACGATGTAACAGCTACATAAAGTCGAACATCAAATTTATAACCTAAATTCAACAAAATAAATCTAGATCAAAGGCCTTATATTTAAAGTATTGTAACGGGTGTAACCGAAATAAACGCACTTTTTTGTTTTCAGTATATCTTCGTCGGATAATATGCGGTCGATTTAAATGTTTTTTTATAAGATTCACCATGAAATTCTCTACAAAAATATCTCTTAACAAGTTTTTTAAAATGAAAACTGTTAGAGTTATAAACAAAAAGCAAGGGTGACTAAAAACGCCGACTTCATAAATCATATTTTTCATACTTTCTTTGACATTTTCTCAAACTGTAACTGAATTGAGGGCTTCGATTCTGCTTGATACTAATACTTTAAAGTATGCCCTTTCTAGTGCACGCCAAAACTTTTTGACATCAACACAGGCAGCTCAAAAAATCAACGTTTCACAGTTTTTCAGAGAATTTTGTGCTCTTTCGAACGGTCGTCTCGAATTTCTCCTATCTTAGACTGTGACGATGATATTTAAAAAAAATTATTTTTTGCCTTATGAAGTTGGTATTTTTAGTCATCCTATTTTTGTTTCCACAACTCTAACAATTTTCTTGTTAGAAAACTAGTTATCAGATATTTTTTTAGAGATTTCCAAGACGAATTTAATAAAAAAAATATAAGTCGATTAGATGAAACCCGACGACGTTATAGTGAAAATAAAAAAGTGCGTTTATTTCTGTTACACCCGTTATATATATACGTATATACCATCAATAAGGAGAGGATTGTCTATATATCGACTAATCACTAAATTTTCATCTAATGGCACTTGATCAGGCTATAAAACAAAAAGTAAAACAAAATTTTGATAGAGAATATGTAAGCGTTCGATGCTTACATGATTAATCAAAAATATTCCTTTTCCTTGAGATGATGCAACTGGTTTTATTATCCATATACCTTTTTCACGTTGAAAGGCACCTTCGATCGCAAAAACAGGATATGAAATAATATATCGATATATAAGAAAAACCAAACATACCACAAAAATCTTCAAATTCATAAGGTAATAGAAATGTTGTGGGTATAAAATTAAAATTTTTTGCCCCCTAAAGATGAACACAATGCTATAAATTAAAAATAATAACCATTGTATTTACCTTGTCCTGTTGCATTTTTTGTACATTTTTATAAAGACGATCTTTTCTTGTCATTTCATGCGATCTAGAAAAATAACCTAAGCTAATTAATTCAAAGAGTACGTAAAACAGACGTTGAAGATAAAGAATATGCATTTTAAACACTTCTTATTTTTCGTTCGAACAAGCAAGACATTATTCCAATAAAATAAAAAAATTATCAAAAATTAAACAATCTTACCTCGGAAAATGGTTAACTCGTTGAAATGGATTTAAATCTCTCAATGAAAATGGTTTCATTCCTCCGCCTGTCCACATAACGTTAAATTCATGACTGGAAGGATGCACCTCCTTAAAACCATGACCTTCGAATATTGTACGTAATAATTTTGTTTCATTTTTGACAAATTTAAAAGTCAAGGAATATTTTTCTAAAAAACAACGAAACAGTTCATTTTAACAAAGAGTTTCTATATTTAAAAATTTCTTTCTCTTCCTTCAATTACCTCCAATTTTTTGAGCTTCCTGACATTTTCCGTAGACAACTTTGGGTGAAAATAATAGAATGGGTGTGCGTTTTGCTCCATATTTCACAATTCGAGGAACTAAACTTCTGAAAAAACAAAGATTATAGTGTCCAATGGAACAGATACAAACATTTTACTTTGTATTAGTCGAATCGTTTGAATCGTCGACTAATTCGTCAAAACTTTCTTCTTCAATGCCACCTTCTTCGCCATCATTACACTCTTCCACAGAATCCTCACATCCCGCATCACAAATGGCTGAATCGATACTCGAAGAGCGTTGAATGACACCTGTCGATGTTGACCCACTTAATACAGGCTGCGTCTGTTGGGCGGGCATATAAAAACAACAAAAAAGATCTAAAATGAAATAAAGCATAGAGCACATTTGAACGACAAACAATTATTTTCTGGTTTTTCGTAAAAACAAAAGGAGGTAGTCTTGTTCAAAGAAAACATATAACTTAAGAGTAACAATCTTCAATGAATATTCGGCAGACGAATTTGTATTGAACAGCAAACAGCTTACTTTTATTGGTGATGAATTTAAGACGTACCAAATTTCAGAGAGACGTTTCATCAATTCAGTCACGTTTTTGTTTTGCTGTAACCGTTAGTATATAATGAGATAATGGAGAGAGATACTATCATGGTACAGGGATGTGATCGAGAGACTCCTCCCAAATATATCCGATGAAGTTTTTTTGAGAAATTAAAGAAGAGTTTTGGAGTCTCCGCGAATCCGAAAAAAGCTTGAACAACAAACGTAATGTGATTTTTTTCGAAAAAATAAGCGCGTACGCGCACCTCATAATTAAGATATTTTTTCTTTTCTAATGTTTAGCATATCTAATCCCGCCTATTTTTGAAAAATTGTTGATTATTCTCTAAGACGTATCTCATTTTTCATTCGAGTTAAAAATCAATCAGTACAACGAGTCTAAGCACGATTTCTGTGTGAATTACATTCATTAGTCGATATAATGGTTCATCCGCTGTCTTTCATATCAGCTATTTACAGTATGGATTAGGAAGTGCCAAGGATCGCCCAAAATCTACTTTTTGTAGATGATGAACTTCTAAATCTTCTATGGCACTGGGAAGAGAAAACAACTCAGACAATTCTCGTCTGAACATATTTTCTTTAATCGACATGAAAAAACGTGTCTAAAGGCAAATCAACTCATCTTCCATTTATTTATGCCATTTTATCTACTCACCGAAACATGTGGATTTAACCGCCTCATTTTTATGACTATTTTGATTGAAAAAATACCTGTATCCCTCGTGAACTATTTATTAAGATTAAGTCAAGATTTAATTGCTTATATAACTTTGTAGAATTGTTCTTAACTCTACAGAAGCACAGATTCCACCAATGTTACTGCAAACGTGGAAATAAATACTCGAAGGAATAAAATGTGCCTCTATCAAAGGTTGAAAAAGTAGCTCAGTTATCTTTGTTATCTCTGGAAAAGAGATCCTGATCTATATCTTTTTCAAATTATTGTTCAAGAAGGCAGCGTTGAATGCGAAACCTGAACGGTTTATACACCAACAAGCCCATAGTCGCCCTTACATGTAAACAAAAAGCTTACATGCATAGTACAAATTTATTTATCAAAACAAAAGAAAATCGACAAAAAGTCACCGTAAACGGAAAACGTGCTGTATTTGTGTTCCTTTAGGCGACCATTACGCCTTCCTTTGTCCCAGTATTACCTCCGAAAGACTAATACTATAAAAGATGCAAAACTACGCGAAGTATCCTTCGTATGTAAGAAAAAAAAGCGTCACAAACACTGTATAAATGAAGATTTGATGGGACTGAAAAGATGCTCACAATCAGCGAAATGTTTTCATGTCGTTTGTGGCCGTCAGCATTTGAGTTGATTTCTGAAATTTCGACCTAACCGTAATTATAATTTAAAATCAAATCTAACAACCTACTGAATCTTTCTTATATCGTCAAAGAATTTTAGTATAAGTAGCGACACTCATAATTCGTTTAACGTGTGAACGAACCTCTGAGCAGCCCAATATGTTAACAGTTTATTTACGATGCTATTTTTCGTTATTGATTTATTTAACATAATATGTTTTTTCACATAATCTGTATTTTTGTGCTCTGACTCAGCACGGCGTTTTCGATATGAGTTTTGGAAGGGGCTGGAAAAACTCCCGAATAACCAAAGTTTTAACTCTGCCCAAACGAGGAACTGGGTTTTCATCCGCTTCCACCACCTAATTGAAAACACCGATCTGACTCGTGACAGGAAAGAAGCCAAGAAGTCCCATTGTTCTTACAGATAAACGTTGAGTGTGAAAAAGCATTAAGAGTATTGTCATAAAATTTAACTTGGTTTTGTCTGTCATTTTCTGCATACTCCCTCTATGTTTTTATTTAATAGCCATGATATCAGACGACTTACGCCTTGGAGACATCCTTACGAGTGGTACAGATGGAGATGTTGTTTTAGTTGGTTTTCCATTTGATGACGGAGTGGCGAGAAACGATGGACGGGTAGGTGCAAAAGACGGACCGACGTCTTTTAGAAAATTTATCAAGCGTACTGGCCCTGTGATAAATCCTGAAATGGATGATTTAGATATTCGTCAACATCTCAAAATAACCGATTATGGAGATGTTAAAGCTGAAACATTAGAAAGCGCACATGATATGTTGGAAGGTGTTGTAACGGATTTAATATCGCGTCATAAAATCCCCTTTATTATTGGAGGTGGTAATGATCAATCGTATCCGAATGTATGTGGACTATTAAACAATAATACTCGAGATTCACTCTGTGTGATCAATATTGATGCTCATTTAGATGTAAGACCATTGAAATCACGTTATCTACTTTCAAAGGAAATACAAGAGAGAGTTGGTACAGAATCAGAATTTGTGGTACATTCTGGTACACCATTTCGTCAATTATTAGAGGATAAGAGATTCTCATCACAAAATTCAAAATTTATTGAATTTGCCTGTCAGGGTTCACAATGTTCGAAACCACATGCAGATTATGTGAAATCGAAAAATGGACAATTATACTGGTTCAGTTCAATTCGTCATGATCCCGTTGCTGTATTTCAACATTTGTTACAAGAAAATAAATCATATAAAATTTTCGTGTCATTTGATATAGACTCAATCATTTCATCATCCTGTCCAGGTGTTTCGGCGCCAGCCACGTACGGTCTCTCATCTGAACAAGCTTGTGCAATATGTTTTGAAGCTGGAAAATGTTCACAAGTTCAACTAATGGATATGAGTGAATATAATCCTGTCGTTGAAGAATATAGAACAGGAAAATTAGCAGCACAGCTCTTTTATCATTTTCTGCTTGGCGTAGCAATGAGAAAGAGCCAGGAGATCAAATAAGTATTGTTAAAATGACAGTAATTTATTGAAGACAATATATCAACTTTGAGACAAGTTCAAATAAAAGTAAGAAATTAAGAAGTAGTTGATAAGGGTTTTATCTTTTTCATTTAGATCTAAATTAATCGAACTAAACTTGTTTTAGTTTTTCAGCTTATTAGTTTTTCAGACTTATTTTGGCGTTTGTCTGTCTAAACTCTTAACCTCTTTGTTATGAAAAGTAGACGTTATCTACTGAATCAATATTTTATTGATTCAAACCTATTTTTTTGCTGTGAAGTTCAGTTTTCTTGAGACAAATGTATTTTCAAGTTTGTAATAGATCACTCATCTGCTCTTTCCACTAATGTGCCAGCGGTGCGGAAATTTTTTGATTTCTATTTGTATCGCAAGATGAGATTAGAATTTAAGAAGAAGTAGATTAACCTTGTAAATTAACCATCTGTTATACATAAAAAAATGTTGAGCACAAAAATTAAGCCAAAAAGGTTTGAATCTGCATTCGTACAAAATTAATTTTGTGTTTTGATAGTTTAAGTTTTAGACTATTATAATGAATTTATTTCTGGTTGTATTCTGGAAGGTCAGGATAGCCATATGCGAACACTAACCGAACAATACGTCACGTAGTTTCACTCATTGCATACGGCGCTATTCATTATTCGAGAACAAGGGAGAATGTGGTTACTATAAAATTGCAGTATTGGATTCCAAGAGAAAAATTTCATGCAACGATTTAGTCAAGAAAGCAACTGTCTTGTAGAGTCTGCTATTTTGATGAATTTTCTCTAGAATTTTTATAAAAACAAACTGTTCACTGACTAGACAATATTTTATGTGATTGTCATACGATCGTAAACGATTTAAAACACACTCACGATCAGAAATTGAAAAAACTCTATTAAATACTATAGATACTTATTTCATAGCATTTCATTCCAGTTTGCGTTTATCGGAATGTTCACTTTTTCATCGTTTTAGATCATGTCACTTTTACTAAAATCATCATTTTCTTCTCAATTATGCTCGCATTTATTTCGCCCAAAACGTGCTTCACAATTCATTCGAACTCTTTTCTCGTCGTCCTCCTCTTCTTCTTATAGTACAAATTTCTCTGTTAACAATGGTACGATGTCTTCCAAATCATTATTATTGAAAAAATTACCATCAACGTCGTTATTTCAACAGCCTTGCCGATTTGCTCATGTTCATTATACATATTCGATGATTTTAGAACGTGTTATGCTTGTCTTACGTCTTTACGATAAAATTAATCCTGAGAAACTCCATTTAGATTCATCATTTCAAAAAGATTTTGGTCTTGATTCACTTGATCAGGTGGAAATTATATGTGCTATGGAAGATGAATTTCAATGGGAGATACCCGATAGTGATGGTGAATTGTTTTTAACTCCTAGACATATCATCGTATACTTATGTGATAAATTTGACGTTTACGAACATGTAGTGCCAGAATCATCATCCGAAACACAACATTCAAGTGCACACCACTAAATGAACTTTTATAAACTTCGACACATAGACTTTAGTAAATTGTTTGTTATTATATTTTTCCTTTGCATCATACAGCTGTTTATTAATACCGTTTAAATTTTTTGATTAAAAAAAGGCTGTTTTTTGTTTAGTTTAATATATAAATATGCTATGTTTTTTTTCTAGAAAAATGTGTAATTTTTGTTCTTTTTTTATGTCGCCAGTAGGTCTGCTCCTTTATTTATTAAGATATGACTTCAGACCATTTTATTCATTCACGGAAGGTCTGGCGATTAATTATAAAAGTCTAAAAAGAGTTAGCTGGAGCAACTACACCAATACGGGGTATTTAAGAATGTTGCGTAAAGGATTATTAAAAAAGCTTCTGTTAAAATATTTGTTAAGTTTATCAAAATTTAGAATCACATATGATTCGCTAATTCAGTAATTTTGAACCAAAAAAGTAGACTTTTTTTCGTGAAGGAACCAAGCAGGGATTTTCTGAGTCTCGCTAAATTCCCACCCGCCCCGCGCGCCCGCGCAGGAAAACGAAATAAAAGTGTTAAAATAGT